GCACTACAGATATGGGTTCCACAGTTACGGGCGTATTCTGTATACATGAATGTTTGTATAGTATCTAAAGCATGCAGAGGCCCAGTGGAACATAGATGCTTCTAGAAAATACATTTTGTCCGGAAAAAGACAATCCAGAATATGGAAAACCACTTTTTATTCACCCTTTAATTGCATCGTCAGGTACACATTAGAGTAGAATAATTTGAAGATTATCAGAGTATAGCTAACTATAGTCAAGCTATTTCTATACAATTAAGTGCACATAATACACTTGTTTAAGTTAGTAAATATCTGGAGCTTGAATTTTCAGTGAGTAGTGGAGATTACAGAGAAGGAACTAAAGGGGAAAGCAATTCATACATACAGCAAGGATTGCATCTTGTCCATGTCACAATGCATCAAGGATTGAAAACTAACCAACAACAAATGACAGCTAAAATTCAGGAAGCTTCTGTAAACTGACCTAATTAAATCTTCTAATACAAGCCATGACGGCATGAATGATTTTTATTGTCAAAGTGCTTTTTATGCATATCATGACAGATCTCCGAAGATTCCTTAGAATTGCCAGGTGATGGTGAGATAATATAAGCACTTCATAGAGCAATTTGTTTATTCCTTTGTCATTCACCATTTATAATGAATCCTATTACTGACTTTGCCTTGTTGTGGTGTCAACTTGAAAAATGTGCATATAAAATCTAAAGGCAGATTTTTAAAAAATCAAGTTGAGCAAAATCATGTGAAATTGCAAGAATTCATGTGAGAGGAAATTAAATTACTATCAAACAGAAAGCAACATAATTTATTAATGCTAATAGATAAAGCTAGAAAGCAAGACAAATGTTATTTCAACTAGCAGAATTGCCACTGGTCACTGGAAACAATACATACCTATCTGACAAGACCCATACACACAAAAGTAGAGTCAGTGTTCACAGAGTTGGATCAGAAGGAATTTTTGTAGCAGGATGATAATTTTGTTTGGAAATCACTGTCTTATTTTCACTTTACTCTTACTTCTGAACTTATATGCAATTCTGAAATAACTTATAAAATGGTATTTCCAGCAATACACTGCTCAGAATTATCCCTGCTGCAATGCAAATAATCCTAGGCTTGTTGATCTTGAATAAGAAATTGCAAGCCATTAAAAACATGAAGTCTGGGTGTTGTTTGTTGATATATTAAAAAATCCCTGTTGTTGGGATTTCTGGATTTTTTGATTGTTAGAATCATTTTGGGTTGGTTAGTCAGGTGTCCCCTCCCTCCCTCACTTTTCCATGTGTGTCCCACCTGAAGCTGCACAGTCGGTGGAAGAGGACCGTGTTCCAGGTAGAGAAGGAGAGTACTGAGGTGATCACAATTAGCAATGAGTGCCTGCACTTCAAAATTTACACTGCATCATTGCAAACAACCATTATGGAATACTTCATAGAGATATTTGCAGATCTCTCATAGGCCACAGTACCCAATCCTCTATTCAATGTGAAACTACAGCTAGAGCCACCCTAGCATCTTGTCATCAAGAAATCTCTTCCAAAGGATGAACAAAATCTATCTTGTAATTAAAACCATTAAACAACAGATAATAAACCTTTACTCTGATCTTGTAACAGCTTTTTAGGTATTTAACGAGTGAATCATGTTAGCCTTCTTTTCATTAGGCTCAATATGTCAACTCCTTCAATCTTTTCTCATGTCACTTTGTTTTCCACACCACTTAGCATTCTTTTCCTCAATCCTTGAGCATATTCCAACTTTTTCATAACCATCTTAAAATGAGATATATAGAACTGAAAACTTTAGATAAGACTCGAACAGAATATATAATTAGGATATTGCTTCTCTTGTCTCAGTAAATGTGGTTATATTAATACATGCCATAATCATTTTTCCTGTTTTGCTGTAGTATCTCATTGCTGGGTTTTATTCAACTCATGATCAACAATCACCCCCAAACCAGTTTCAAGTGTGTATGTAGAGATTTGCATTTGTCTTTGGTGAATTCCATTCATTGTTCTCAATTTTCTAGTTTATTAAGGTTCTTTTGAAGTCTATCTTTCAAAGTGTTAGCTATCCATCCCAGTTTTGTATCATTCACAAATTTGAAAAGGATTCCCTCTACCCTGCCATCTAAGTCATTGATTAAAATAAGGTTGAAGAGTGATAGCCTAAGGACAAAAACCCATTGCACTCCACGTGAGGCCTTCTTCCAGTTTGAAGTACTGATGACAACTCTTTGAACATCTGATAATTTTGTTTCATGTATTCCATATTTAATCAGTTTGTTAATCAAAATATCACCAGGGACTTTATCAATTCATGGTGGGCTTTATCAAATGATTTCCTGAAATCCAAATCAGTGACACCTACAACATTATTTTCATCTAATAACTAGTGACCCAATTGAGAATTCATAATTTTGTTCACATTCCAGACACTGAAGCAGCACAAAACAAGTTTTGATCAATATTATATATATATCATACTTTCAAATGTTTAAAGATGGCTCCATTATCATTATTACTGATGCCATTTTATTTCTATGTATAGTTGTGGCAGCTGGATAGTGAAGACAGTTGATAGGAAAATAATCAATTAACTTGAAATGTGTCACTGGAGGAGAATATTTCAGGTACCATTGATTGCAAAAAGACAGATAAGTAGCTCCTACAGCAAAATTCAGCCTGATTTCTCACTGGAAACTAACATAACCAAATTGAGGCTTTTAAAATTTGGTCATGTCATAAAATAAAATGACATGACTCATAGGATAAGATGATAATATTTGATAAAGTGCAAGGGAGTAGAAAAAAGGAAGACAAAATTATAGATGGCTTGATTCAACTAAGACGGGAACTTGCAACATCTGTGCAGCACTGTTTATAACCTGGGACAGTTACAGACAGTGGTAAAGTCTGCTTTGTCCTGAGTTTTAAAAACCCGGGTCTAAAAAACCCGGAGTGGACTGTAGTCCACATACCACCAAGGAAGTCTGCGCTTTCTGTGAGCAGTGTCTATATGTCCTCCCGGTACCTACTGGGAGAACAGGGAGACAGCTCCCATCCCATCACCTCCCCAAACCCCTCCCAAAACCCTTTAAAAAACAAATCCTTTAAAAATAAAAGAACTTACCCGGCTGCCATTAGCATGGTGCCGGAGCTCTCCTGGAGCATAGGAGGCCGGGAGGGGGTTAGAGCCCTCGCATTTTCTGGCCTCAACTTCTGAGCAGACAGTCCAGACAGCAATCATAGTAGGTTTGCTCCATGCCTTTCAAGAAGGCATGGAACAAACCCACTAAGAAATTAATTCACTACAAAGCAGGGTTTTCCTGCTTTGTGTCAAATGCAATCGCTTTTCTGTGGGATGCCATCTAGACCCCCCACTTGAAGAAGTGGGAGCTCCCGCTTTTAAAGAGCTGTCTGGATGCACCCTGGTCTCTCATCATAGACTTTTTATAATTTGATTTCATCTTGAATAACATCAAGAATGCATATAACCTTGGAGTTTTATCTTCTCCATACTAAAAATCCTCATGTTCCTAAGTTATTCCTCTTAGGCTTATTTATCTTTTTCATTGCTCTCCTCTGGACAAGTTTCAGCATGGTGAGTTTTTAAAATGAAATGGGCTAAGTACAACCACATGGTGAAGGAATACCCTCCAAAGCTATTTGGTGTCTTAAAAAATAAAATAGCCTTTAAGTGCCCTGTATTTATTTATTTACTATATTTATATACCACCCCTCTCAGCCCAGAGGTGACTGTAAGTATTATGGAGACATTTTCCCATGTTTCTGGAAACCCTGGCACATTTTAGGCTTTTATCAGTTACTTCAAGCTGTTAAAAAGACATTTTCTGCGACCAAAAACACACCAATCAGACCAAAGACATGTCAAAAGGTTCCCAGATACACTAGAGATTACCTTTGGCCACTTCTAAATGGAAGGTATAGTGGGTGACTATAGCTTTCCAATGTGTCTTTGGGGGTTTGTGTGCACCCCTAGCATCCCCCAGTTGCTAACATGGTTATTACAGCATTATACACATGGGTCATGGCATATCGAAAATCATCACTGTACTTATCATCACTACCATTACACCATCTGATTATTTTCTTTTATTTGTTTATTATTTTTGGTATGAAATCAACACACTGCAAAACTAGGGGAGAATTTATAGTCAGATGGGTTTTATAAGCACAATACATCCACTCTTCTAATTTAATTGAGAATATCCCTTGTATTAACAAATGAATCTAAGGAATAACCATGTTGAACACTGAGAAATGACAATCATATTTAAATGTCTGAAGTGCTGTCTTGTGGAAAATGGAATAAGCATACTCCCTGATGCGCTTGAGAACTTGGGTCTAGAGATTCAAATCATAAAAAGAGAGGGTAGGGATGCATCTATTCTATGGAATTAATGCAGTTTGACACCACTTTAACTGCCAAGGCTCAATGCTATGGAGTCATGGGAGTTGTAGTTTGCTGAAACATCCACTCTTTGGTAGAGGAGTCTTTAGACATTTTAAAACAACATCTCCCCTTACTCCATAGCACTGAGCAGTTAAAGTGGTATCAAACTGCATTAATTCTACAGTGACTAAAGATTATGAATTTCCTGATGCCATGAAGTGCTTGAATAGTTGACATCACAAGGTGGTGGGCTGTTCATTGGTGGAATTTTTTAAAGCAGAGGTTAGATGACCCAAAATGCTTATTCTTGTACTGATAGACAGTTGGATTAGGTGGTTCTTGGAATCCCTTTCTACTATGTGGTGTAAAAAGGGTAATGAAGGTGAGTGAGACATTATTATGGTTGAACCATCATTCTTAACTTCATTGTCCTGTACTTCTATGCCTATTGAGTTTTTTGAATGCACATTTCCATCAATACTCTGCCTTTAACAAGTAGCACTTGCTTTACTTTTATGTCTTCTCTTCTCTTTGTACACTCTTAAAACAATGTTGTTAAAGAATTTTGTTCTTACCTGTAAAGCAGCTAGCAAGTGACATAAAAAACATCAGTCTCCATGACGACTGCATGACTTGTTGCAAAGGTCTTCGGCTCCCCTTTGTGTGACTGTTAGCAGCTCGGAGGTTTCTTCATGAAAACACAGCCTGGTGAAGCAAAAAACAGTCCTCTGATGAGTATTTATTTACTTTTTTTTCTTTGTAACCGATAACCATTTCTTATGTCAGATGTAACTGTAATTGTTAGAAGTGATTCCAGCATTTTGGAGGATGGCATTTGTGCAAGATACTCTCAAATTTTGGTGGAACACAGGATGAATGAGTGAAGCCATTTTAACTTCCAAAATAAAGAAGATGCAAAGTAGGAATCCTCTTATACTGGTCCATTGCAGATAAAAGGTTTCAGCCCTCTTGCATTTGCTACAGTTGCCAAAACGAAAACTGGAGAGGGTTCCTATGTCTTTAATGGTTGTGTAGAAGAGGGAATCTCAGTAGGTGTTGCTTGTTATCTGGTTGCATGACAAGTAATAGTTGCTGAAATCTCCCCTTCTAAATAACTACTAAAGGAGCCATTTCCAGTTTCCATTCTGACAACCTAACATTTCCCCAGTTTGGAAACTGGGTTCCAGAAACAAGTAAACACTTGTATTTTGCTATTTTTTGGGCTGGTAACACAATTGGTTAATCAGCTGCAATAAATCACTGCCAACTGAAAGGTGGCAAGTTCGAAGCCTGAGTCAGGGTTGAGCGCCCGACTGTCAATAGCTGTTTTAAAAAAGCTATTTAAAATGCCCAGCTCACTGTCGACCTAAGCAGTTCGAAAACAGCTGTGAGTAGAGGAATTAGGGACCGCTTAAAGCAGGGAGGCTAATTTATGACACCATAAAAATGCCAGAGAGCAAGGAGGAAATACTCAACATCATAATGGACGAAGCAACAGCTCCCCCTGTGGCCGAACTGAGCAACCTCCAGGATTCGAAATGGAATAACTGCTGAATGGCCTCTGTCTATCTGTATGTTTTGTATGTCAAAAAAGGCACTGAATGTTTGCAGTGAATATGTACATTGTGATCCACCCTGAGTCCCCTTCAGGGTGAGAAGGATGGAATATAAATACTGTAAATAACAAATAAATAAATAAATAAATATTTTCCCATCCCATATCCGCCTAACATTTCACAGATTAGTATCAGGACACATGTAGCCAAGCAATATAAAAGCATAGTCAAAGTGACACAAGTTATTAATGATGTAGAACACACAAGCTAGGAGAGGCTGCACCTGTTTACTTTTGCCTGAATCTACTGGAAAGATCAAATCTCATCTTGCTAAGTTAATTTGGTGCCAACTGCTTTTCCATTTTGAATTCAGTTTGCATCAAAGGAAACAAATGACGAGAATGAAAGAGGGACCTTTTAAAGACAGCTAGAAAGATAGTTAAAGAGGATTAATCAGGACTGCTCCTGCCAAATTGAGACAGGTATCCCAATTGGTCATCCCCATTGGTCAGTTGTCTTTCATGATCTCTGTTGCTACTCTGTGATGCTAACCCCAATCATATAAGGTCACACAACACATCCTTAACCTTTGTTTACCAGGAGGGGAGATGATACCCTTCTTGTGTTGTACAAGTAACAGGAGTGCACAACTTATAGCAGTGCCATGCTTTGGAGCATCTCAAAAAAGGTGTTTTCCTACATATCTGAAACTTCTAGTTCTAACCTTAAGATAGCACTATTATCTTAAATGATTTTATGTTACTTGACAGTAGTTGATTCTGCAATTATATTTCACTTGATTCCGTGTTATGGTAAGTCTGCTGCTCTGTTCCTCATCCTATTATATACTGGATAATCATATACAAGGTTTAACTAGCATAAAGACATCAGATCATGTCCAATCTTGGAAGCTGAGCAGGATCAGCTCTTGTTAGTACTTAAGTGGGAGATCAATAAGGAATATTGGAGAAAGACAATTGCAAACTACCCCTGAATATTCATTTCTTAAGAAAATCCAATGAAATTCATAAGGGCACCAGAAGCCTTAAGACAACTGATAACTTGAAGGTATGGGCAAGGTGTATAGAAAAGACAATAGAGATAAAAAAAATTCCCCTGAAAATGATTTGAAATGGTAACACGTCATTCAAGTTGAAATATAATTGAACAGTCAGCCTGGCCAATTCATTAATTCCCCTTATTATTATTAGCAACTATCTTGACAGATAGGTGTAGTGTAATGCTATGAACTATCATGAAATCTTAGTGCTTTCAGAAAAAAAATCTAGTGTTTCAATCTAATTAAAAGATACTGTTGAGAAGAAGTGAGACTCCTACATATATGTTGCAAAAACTACAAACTCTTAGCTGGAAAGTGCTGACATAATATGCCAGCTACATGCAAAGTCTGAATAAATAGTAGAAAATGAAAATAATAATAAATATTAATCCTTTTTTAAAAAAACAAAATAACAAACACGAAAAGTTTAATCATATATTACATATCAAAGTTTTTGATATATAAAAATGATTGAGCTTTCTAAGTGGCTCAATAAAAGCTGCAAACAAATTACAAAAAGAGAGAAGCAAATATTTGCATGAAAAATTAGGAGAAAATCTGATAAAATTATATGCAATCTATTATCTCTTTTCAACAAGCACAGTAAAAAAAAAAGGCTAGGCAAATAACCCCATGTCAACAAAATTCCATGTATTTGCCTATGAGAAATGAATCTTAAATTTTTCTTCGTGGTCTCTGCGAATGCACACTTGTGGAGAGACTGCGCCTGCATGGGCTCCAACGGAAACTTCTACATTTTAAAACTTTTCAAGTTTTGGCGGTAACCCCGCCCAGCCCCGGCAGGGGATAAAAGGGCACCCCGCGCACACCGATCCAATTCCTTTTTCCGCCGCACGGCTCGCTTCGGTACTTCTAGTTAGACAGAGTTTCTCTTGTAGAGATTTCCTCGAGTTGTTCGACAGTATTATGTCAACAACTCGCTTCAAAAGATGCGCGAATTGTCCGAGGAAGATCCCTGATTCGGACAAGCACGCTCTTTGCCTTTTGTGTCTCGGAGAGGCACACATTACTTCCTCGTGTCGTCATTGTCAATCGTTGACGGCACAGTCCCGTAAGAACCGGGTCCATCGGCTTCGATACCTCCTGTACCAGCAGACGTTGGCTCCGGTACCTTCAACATCGACATCGGCGTCGACGTCAGCTGCGGTATCCAGGCC